TTTTGGTTTTTCGAGACAGGGTTTCTCTGCGTAGTTTTGCGCCTTTTCTGGAGCTCACTTGGTAGCCCAGGCTGGCCTCGAACTCACAGTGATCCACCTGGCTCTGCCTCCCGAGTGCTGGGATTAAAGGCGTGCGCCACCACCGCCCGGCTTGCCATTTTGTACCTTTTAAGTGTCTCAGTTTGTTTCTGGGTTTGTTTTTTTTTTTTTTTTTTTCAGTTATTTTAAAGTAACTAGTCTCATTCTAAGCAACATTATTATGTTTTTAGTTTTGAACATATTACTATGTGTTTAGGTAGAATTGTACTTTAATTTTATGATTTAAAGCATGTTTTGCTTATCTTGATAAATTAATTACATAACTAGAAAACAAGAGAACCTCGTAGCTCAGCTGCAGTGTGTCTGACTCCATATCTTAAAATCCATGAAAAGTAAAATTATAATTTAGGTAATTATGGACTAAAATACCTTAGCTTTTTGCCAGTGTGACAAGTTGCCTGAGAGAAAACTTTTCAGAGAGGAAGTATTTATTGTTGCCCACTGTTTGAGAGGTTCTGGTCCATTGCTCTGGGCTTACATTGGTGAGGACAACACCTTACCTTTGCATTGCTCTGGGCTTACATTGGTGAGGACAACACCTTACCTCTGCAGGAAGAAAGTCCTACTGCAGGGTGTCAGTCTCACAAACTCCCAGCAGCCAGAGGGCAGGGAAGTGTGCTGGGGCCAGCAGGTCCCCCTGCCCCTTCCGCCTGGGGCGCCAGCCTCGTGAGATGGCACTAACCCATCAGAGTGAGTCTTCCACCTTTAACTAGTCCTCTCTGGAAATGTCCTCAGATAGACCCAGAGATGGGCTCCACTGGTTAGTCCCTCCATTTGGGTTATGTTTGTGATTAATCATCACACAAAACAGCTTTCTTTAATATTGGATGAGGTATCCCATTGATGGAGGAAAAAAAAAAGAATTGGAATTTAAGGTAGCTGTGCCAGCAGAAGGGTGAGGTATTTGATACCATGATGCTGAGAAATCATTGATTTCCCAGCAGCTTCAGTTCTGCTTCAGCCTCTTCCTAGCTGACAAGTTAAGCCTTTGTTTTGTCAAGAGAATGGATCATAAGTTAGGTGTGAGAAGCACATGAGACAAATATGTATGTGCATGCAGTTTTTCATGTAGCAGTGATATGGGTGCAACCTTTGTGTTTATTGGAGGTAAGAGAGCATCTTCTGTAATAAAAGTCTTCAATTATTTTACATATTTACATAGAATAATGTAATCCTAGAATGTGTACTAATGCCTTCATGGTTGTGTTAATCACAGGTTGCAGTGTATTAATGTGGTTTTCTTTTTCCTATTGTTCAAGATACCCTATATTTGAGAATCCCTACCCTTTGAGTATACACGAGTCCCCTGTTACATGTTGTGAATATTTTGCTGATTGTCCCGTGGACCTCATTCCTGCACTTTATTCTGTTGGAGCTAGGCAGAAACGTCAAGGCTACAGCAAAAAGGTACCGAACTGAGTTCATTGTTTAATGTAACTTATTATTATTATTATTATTATTATTATTATTATTATTATTATTATTTTGAATTTTACACCTTGAGCTGCTGCTAACATTGTTAACGTTTGGAAATAATTTTTAGAAGTAAATTCTGTACTGTGTTCATACCTATGTAATATACTTATACATTGTATACTGCATATCTACTATACATAATATGTATTTTCAAGTCAATTTTCAATGTTTTTTATAGGAATGGCCTATCAATGGAGGTAATTGGGGCTTGGGTGCTCAGAGTTACCCAGAAATAATTATTACAGGGTAAGTAAACATATATTTTTGCCAATTAAATCATTAATAGCTAATATACTTACTTACGACAGTTTGAATTTTAACTCACTTGGTAAGTAAAGCTTTCCTCTGTGTTACAACTTGAGAAGTGAGTTATTGGTGAGAACTTGATGGCTCACAGTGATTTTTGCCTTTTGCTCATCTTTGTGAATGAGTTTGCTGACAAGTAACAATACAATGTAACTGGTTGTTTTTTTTTTTTCCTTTTCCTTTTTCATGATATTTTTCTCTCTTTTGTTTGTCCTAGGCATGCCGATGGGTCAGTTAAGTTCTGGGATGCTTCTGCAAGTAAGAGCTTTGAATATTCAGCTGTTTGTCATGTTTCCTTGCTGTTGCCCTTATATATGAAGTTTTAAATAATTGTATAAACCACATTAGATTTGAAAGTGCTAGATGATCAGCACAGTTTATTGGCTTATCAAATGTGCAAGTTGGGAATTTTGAAGAATCCAGATATTTTAATGTTATTAGTAAGCCAAATAATAATTCTCAACAGTGTTCTAGTTTTTTTTCAAATTTCTCCAGAACTTCTCTTTAGAAGTCAAAAATAGGGGGCTGGAGAGATGGCTCAGAGGTTAAAAGCACTGACTGCTCTTCCAGAGGTCCTGAGTTCAATTCCCAGGAACCACATGGTGGCTCACAGCCATCTGTAATGAGATCTGGTGCCCTCTTCTGGTGTGCAGTCATACATGCTGTATACCTAATAAATGAATAAATCTTTTAAAAAAAAAAAGAAGTCAAAAATAGATGTGGAAATATATTTCAAATTAGAAAATGCTTCGGTCCAATTCTAAAGTACTGTTACAAAAGATTATGTTGTCCTTGTGAACAGACCTTGAATTAGATAGTAGCAAAAGAGGGAAGAAACACCTTTGTGATTGGAGACCATTTATAGAAAGCATTTAGAGAAATCCACTTAGCTCGGGATAGCTGGTGTTTTATAGGAATGTTTGATAATACTGGTGCCTTTTTGGAAGAAAGTTTATATATAGGATGTCATTTTAGGGACTAAAATATGTCCTCCATATGTTTACAGCAAGTATTTTGCTCCAGTTTCCTTTTGTAGTTTTTCTTCAGGCTCTCTAAATCCTTTGTGATGGTGAAAGTGTCTGAATATATAATACACTGGGAAATAGAGAAATGAAAGTAGAGTTTAGGTAAATGTAGGCTGGTTTTCGTCCATAACATGATAATTAATCATTATTTTTGGTTTTTAAAGATTTGGTGGAATATTTTTTATTTACAGATTTTTCATATAATATTTTGATCATATTCTTCCCCTCCCTCAACTCCTCCCAGATCATTCGGATCTCCCAACCCATCCCATTTCATGCCCCCCCCCAAAATTGAAAAAGAATAAAATCAAAATAATAAACAATAGGACAAAAAAAATACCAAAACAAAACAAAAAGCACCCCCCATACACACACACACACACACACACACACACACACAAAAAAAAAAAAAAAAAAAATGGAGTCTATTTTGTATCAGCCAGATTGTGGTTGGTAAACCCAGTGACACTCTACCGGAGAATGCTATTTTCTCTTTCTCAGCATGTAGCAGTCGGAAATAACTTGTTGATGAGGGCTGGATTTTGTATCTACTTCCTCTTCTCCATGCTGGGACTTCGTGTGGTTTGACCTTCTGCAGGTCTTGTGCATGCTGTCACATTCTCTCTGAGTTCATACATACATCAGTACCTTGAGCCTTGACAGGAGGGATTTGTTAGACATCCCCTTTAGGGATGAGTTCGAAGTCTTTCACTCTCTGTACATTGTCCAGTTGTGGATCTCTTTGTTAATTGCCATCTGTTGCAAGAAGAAGTTTCTCCGATCAGAGATGAGTGATGCACGGGTCTATGGGTGTAACAACGTGTCCCAATGAGTCACTTTATTCCTATGTTACCTTGCCAGAATAATAGTAGTAGCTTTTCCCCTAGGTCCCATGACCTAGCTATCTCAGGTTCTTGACCACTTTAGCAGTGTTAGGTATGGGTTCCATGTCATCAAGTAGATCTCCAATCCAATTTTGAAAAAAGTGGTTGATTACTTCCAAGCTGTTTGTGCTACTATTGTACTAGTGTGCTTTGCAAGCAGGTCACTGTTGTAGGTCACAGAGTTTGTAGCTCAGTGATACTTCCTCTTCCTGGAAGTCCTTCTCCTCCTATCCTGGTCCCTTAATAGCTGCCTAACTTCTGTGGGAGTTTAGTTTTGTGAAGGGTGATAGATATGGATCTATTTCCATTTTCGACATGCACTATCTACGTTGACCAGCACCAGTTGTTGAATATGCTCTCTTTCCTCCAGTGTGCATCTTTGGTGTCTTTGTAAAGGCTCAGGTATCCTTAGGTGTGGACTTATATCTTGATCTTTAATTCTGTTTCTTGGTCAAAGTGTCTGGTTTTTACACCAATAACCATGCTGTTTTTATTACTATAGCTCTGTAATACAGTGTGAAATCAATGGTGATGATACCTCTAGCAGTTCTTTTATTATTCCTATTTTAAGCTAGGCAGTGGTAGCCCATGCCTTTAATCCCAGCACTCCAGAGGCTGAGGCAGGAATGTCTCTGAGTTAAAGACCAGGCTGGTCTACAGAGTAAGTTCCAGGACAGCCAGGACTATATAGTGAGACCCTGTCTGGAAAAACAACAACTAACAAAATAGAATTCTGGGCTTTTCATGTTTCCATCTGAAGTTGAAGATTGTTTGGTTTGTTGTCGTTTATTTATTAATTTTTGTTGTTCAATTTCTGTGAAGAATTGTGTGGTAATTTGGATGGGAATTGCATTTGAATCTAGATAGCTTTTAGTAGGCTAGCCATTTTCACACTATCAATCTTACTGACCCATGAGCATGGGAGGCCTTTCTATATTCTGTTATTATCTTCACCTTCTTTCTTCAGTGGCTTACAGTTTTTATTATTCAAGTCTTTCACTTGTCTGGTTAGAGTTATCCTAAGTTTTTGTTTGTTTGTTTTGTTTTGGGATTGTTTGTTTTGAGGTGATTGTGGAAGGTACTGTTTCCCTGATATCTTTCTGTTTGTCATTTGTGTATAGGAAAGCTTTTGTGTGTATGTATATGTGTTAATTTTATATCCTGATACTTTATTGAAAGTATTATGAGCTATAGAAGTTTCCTGGTAGAGTCTCTCCGGTCTTTTATATGTCAAATAATATCATCTGCAAATAAAGATAATTGACTTTCCTTTTCTGTTCATATCCCTTTGATGATCTCCTTTAGATATCTTACTGCTCTAGCAAGACTTCAAGTACTACATTGAATAGCTATGGAAAGAGTATCCTTGTCTTGTTTCTGATTTTAGTGGAATTGCTTTGAGTTTTTCTCCATTTAGTATGATGTTGGCTGTGGGTTTGACTTTATTGTGTTGAGGTTTGTTTTTTGTATCCAGGAAAAAACAAAAACAACAACAACAACAAAAGAAAACAGTCTCTTCAGGACTTTTATCATGAAAGCTTTTGTCAAAGACCTTCTCTATATCTGTGAGATAATTGTGTAGTTTTGTCTTTCAGTTTGTTTATGTGGTGGATTACTTGTTAATCTATGTTGAACCATCTCTGCATCTCTGCAATGAAGTCAGTTTGTTCATGGTGGATAATCTTTTTTGATGTGTTCTTATATTCGGTTTCCAAGCATTTTGATGAAATTTTTTGTATGTATGTTTATAAGGGGTATTGGTCTTTAATTTTCTTCTGCTGTTGGGTCTTTATGTGGTTTTGGCATGAGAATAATCAGGGCTTTCTAAAACAAACTGGAAGGGATTTCTTGAGTTTATTTGGTGGAATAATCCCAGGAGTGGTGGCATAAGCTCCCCTTTGAAGGTCAGTAGAGTACTGCACTGAATCCATCTGTCCCGGCTTTATTTGGTTGAGAATCTTTTAATTACTGCTTCAGTTTCTCTATGGATTATGGGTCTGTTTAAATCATTTACTTCATTTTAATTTTAGTACATCATATATATCTAGAAATTCATCCATTTCTTGTAGGTTTTCTAACTTGGTGAAGTACAGATTTTTAACTTATATCCTTATGATTCCCTAAATTTCTTGGTAATATCTCTATTTTAATATCTAATTTTATTAATTTGGATCTTCTGTGGCCTTTGCTTAATTTGGCTAGAAGTTTGTTGATTTTTGTCTAAGAACCAAATCTTTGTTTCCTTGATTTTTTTGTATTTGGTTTGTTTGTTTCTGTTTCATTGATTTTTTCCCCTTAGTTTGATAATTTATTTCTTGCCATCTGAGTTCTTCTTCTTCTCCTCCTCCTCCTCCTCCTTGTTTTTGAGAGCTTTTGAGTGTGTCATAAATAAGTTATTAATATGCAATTTCATCAGGTTGTTGGTGTAGCGCTTAGTGCTGTCTTAGTGTTATGAACATGCTTCTTAGAACCTGCTTCATCATTTCCATAAGCTTGGGTGTGCTTTGTTTTCACATTCATTCAATTATAAAGTGTTTTTAATTTCCTACTTGTTATCTCTCTTGACCCAGTTTTCATTCACTAATCAATTGTTGGAGTTCCATGAGTTTGTATACTCCCTGCCATTCTGTGCAGCTGTAATCCATGGTGTTCAAGTAGGGTGCAAGTCCTATTTCAGTTTTCCTATATCTGTTAAAACTTGCTTTGTGTCTTAATATGTGGTCAGTTTTGGAGAAACATCCATGGGCTGCTGAGAAGAAAGTATATTCCTTAGCGCTTGAATAGAATGTTCTGAAGGTGGCCGTTAGGTCCAATTGATTTCTGATAACAGTTAGCTCCAGTATTTCTCTACTTTATTTTTGTCTGGATGACCTGTTTCTTGGCAACAGTGGGATATTGAAGTCATGTGCTATCTCCTTATGGAAGTCAGTATGTGATGGTTATCTATAATAGTGTTTCTGAACTTGTGTTTGGTGTATAAGTATTTAGAATTGGAGTATCCCTTAGTGGATTTCTCTAATGCGTATATAGTATCCCTCCCTATCTCTTCTGATTTTTTTGTTTGTTTGTTTAAAAGTCATGTTTTGTCAGATGTTAAAATGGCTATACCAGCTTGCTTTTTAAGTCCATTTTCTTGGAATACCTCTATCCTTTTACCATAAGTTGATATCTTTCCTTGATGGTGAAGTCTATTTATTTTTTTAATTTTTTTCTTTCATTTTTCTTTATTAAGAAATTTTCTACTCACTCCACATACTATCCACAGATCCCCCCTCCTCCATCCTCCTACCCCCTAGCCCTCTTTCCCAAGCCACCCCACATCCCCACATCCCCCAAATCAAGGTCTCCCATGGAGAGTCAGCAGAGCCCAGCACACTGAGCCTAGGCAGGTCCAAGCCCCTTCCCACTGCACCAAGGCTGTGCAAGGTGTCACACCACAGGCACCGGGTTCCAGAAGCCTGCCCATAGACCAGGGACAGATCCCAATCCCCCTACCTGGGTGCCTGGGAAGTATATTTCTTGAATACATCAGAAAGATGGATCACAGTTGTTCATCTTTGTGATTTTACGCTGGGATCTAGGTAGTGAGAGTTATGACTGTAAAGCATTTCTTGATGTAGATATCTGCTGTTGTCTTTGCTGGGTGCTTGTTTCAGTCTTTGCTCACTGTTGCCCACTCTGGATCCTAGCCAGGTGTTGCACCTGTGGGGTTGCTAAATCCCAGTAAAATATGGAGGCTGTTGGTCCCTGATAGAGGGAGATTTATGGGTTGGTAGAGAGTCACAAAAACAAAAAAAAAAATGAACAAGGAATAATTGAAAGGAGTGGTAGAGAAGAATTAACAATTTTGAGGTTTCAGCTAAATTTTGTAATATACTTTCTTCTAGTAACTCTACAAGTACTGTATAAATTAAAAACGTCTAAAGTGTTTGAAAAGTCAAGAAGTAAAGATGACAGACCGAACACGGACATTGTAGATGAAGATCCATACGCCATTCAGATCATCTCCTGGTGCCCAGAGAGCAGAATGCTGTGCATAGCTGGAGTGTCAGCGCATGTCATCCTTTATAGATTCAGCAAGCAGGAAGTGGTGACAGAAGTCATCCCGGTAATCACCTCTTAACAGTTTTCTTCTCAGTTGTCTGATATTTTTAAGCTTTTGAAAATTATTTAATAAACAGTTTACTATTGCTTTTGCATAAAAATTTAAAAGCACTTTAGTATTTATATCACTATCTGTTTTGTGAAAATAGCATTTTTACATATACTTTAATGGACTATCTGAATCTTTAAGTATATTATGCCTTTTGTTTAAGGAATGTCAACTTATTGGTATTCCATACATTCTAAAACCATGATGCATATGTGTGTACATGTATGAACTCCCACCCATACACACAAGTTTTTAAAAGTTGAGTCAAAAATCTTTTTTTCTTTTGTCTCTAGAAATATAGTCCTTTTTTTTAACTTTTAAAAATATTCTTTCTGGTTCATTATAATACAGGAGTTTTAATTATTAGGAATAGGTAAACAGCCATTCTTTTATGACAGATGCTTGAAGTTCGACTGTTATATGAAATAAATGATGTGGAAACGCCAGAGGGTGAGCAGCCGCCACCTTTGTCCACCCCCGTGGGCAGCTCCAACCCTCAGCCCATTCCTCCTCAGTCTCATCCATCCACCAGTAGCAGCTCATCTGATGGGCTTCGTGATAATGTACCTTGTTTAAAGTAAGTTGCAAAACATTAGGTCTGTTTTATATGTTATCTCTTAATTTAAAAAATAATAATCATTAGTACATCTATGATGGCATTTTCCTGCAAGAATGGGTATTCTTGTGTTTGGCTGTGGTTAACTGAGCTTGTATTTATGGTATAAGAACAATGGTAATTCTATAGTGTTACACCTAATATTACCAAGGTTTAAAATAATAAGGTAGGATGGCTGTGGGTCACCCTGTATGTATCACTACACCTTCACATCTAGCCATGATTTCATCCTGGACTTAGATTTAATGTGGTTTATGTTCATTCTCTTCTCTGAACTCTGAAAATTCTGCTTCTTTTCATCTTTACTTTGGATTCAGTGTTCTCATACTTTATTTTATGCTTTCCTGAATCTTAACATCACTTTATCTTTACGTAAAAGACTTTACTTTGTATCATTTTAAGAGCATACTAGTTGATTCAGGGATAAATTGGATGTACTTTTACTTTAATTTTTTATTCAGTTTCTGTTTTTGAGTGATTAAGTTCTTCAGAGGTTATAGAGAAATAAAGTGATGAGGAAAGAATTAAAATCATTGGATTACATAAAGACTGGGTGATTCAATGTGTTACATAGAAAACAACGAAAATCATGATGGGGGCAGAAGTGGATGGGTTCAAAGTGGAGAGGGTGACAAGACAGCATGTGTGCTCAGTAGAGAAATAGGCTTTGTGTTGCTTTTACGGTAGAGCAGCTGAAATCGCTTCTCTAGTGCATATGTGGTGGTTAGAATGTTGATTTAGTAAAAAAGCCACTCCTCAAATAAGGCAAACAGACATTAAAATAAAAAAAGAAAAAAATCACAATCATGTTTTTAAAGATTCATTTATTTTATTTTATTTTATTATTTTATTTTATTATTTTATTTTATTTTATTTTATTTTATTATTTTGTGTGTTGATATTTTGCCTGCATGTGTGTCTATGTGAGGGTGTCAGATTCCCTGGAACTGGAGTTACAGACAGCTGTGAGCTGCCATCTGGGTTCTGGGAATTGAACCCAGGTCCTCTGGAAGAATAGCCAGTGTTCTTAACACCTGAGCCATCTCTCCAGCTCCTACAGTTCTCTTTTAAGTACATGTTTTACAGAATTTTTTCCTATATTCTCAAAATCTTGAGAGTATGGATTTGAACGAGTGATTCTCCAGCAGGGATGATCTTGCCTGTTTCAGGATATGCCCTAGTGTCTGGAGACAGTGTTAGTTTCCCAGCAGGGGCTGGGGCTGCTGTTGAGGTTGAGTTGGTAGACTTGGTAGACAGGGCCTGAGATGAGGCTCAGATCTACAGTGGACATGGCAAAGAATTGCTTCCTTCAAAATGCAGGAGTCTCAAAGGTCTCAAGCTGGCTTCTTCCCTTCCTTCCCATGTTACTTTTCCTCTTCTATGCTTCCCCCTCTCTTTCTTGCTTCCTCCCACCTTCTCGTTATCTCACACTTAGAAACACACCTCTCCTTTTAGCTATACTTCTAGCATATATTATCTAAAACAAAACTTACAATACAGATTTATAGTTTTGCTATTTTTTAAGGACACAATACTACTTTAACACTAAATTTTAAAATGTTACTACAATTATTTCATTTTTTTAGATTTTGTTAATTTTATAGATGGATAAAATATATTTATTATGGATATTAGTAAAATAGTTCCATATTTCCTCAGTTTTATCAATTATGTGAAGTAATGTTTTAGCATATTTAGCACAATGTTATCACATAAAAATGTGAGATAATTTTGTCATCTTCAACAAAATTAGAATACTTTAACTTGGACTTTAGCACTACTTATGCCTCTAAATGTTCATAAGCTTAATATTCAACAGTCTGAAACATGAGATCAGTTTCCTCCTGAGGAATAATCACTGTCAATGTATGGCTTTCCCATACCAAGAGGCTAGGAAATATTTATAACAAGAAATGCAGTGCTCTCAAACCAGAGTTACAAGACTTCTTGCCTTGGCTCCCCAGATAAAAATGAAAAGCAGGTCCAATGAGCGAGTCTTTGTCCTCTGATTTTGCTTAGGTAAGTGTTTTTCCACTGTTTGTACTGACAGGAAGGACAAGGAGAATAAGTAAGTTAATTACCAAAAACAATTAAAACCTCCAGCCAGAGCCTGGAAGTCCAAATCCATTTAAGATACACTGTTTCTGGAACTGAGTTTTCAGTACTGTCCACAGGCTTGAGGCTATGGATAGCCATCGTTATTGTCTGACATTTGTATCTATGGTGAGATGTATTGACTTCTAATCTGCAAGTATTTAGTAGAATGTCGCTTAGTATAGCAATTTCTTTTCAATTCAGATTTCAAGGGATTTTTAATGTCTAGGAAGTCTCACAAGCCAACTTGTTACTATTTAATATTCTTTGTTATTGGCATTAGCTGTTAACATTTGTATGTGGATATACTTCCCTATCCTGGACTTATATAGTAACTTAAATACATTATTTCTTAATCCTAGAAGAATTAATGTAACTGTGATTTGATAATGATGCTCTTTTTCACTTTTGAATACCATTTTAGACTTCTAGGGTATACTGTGGTGTTCTCTCCATTTTTGGAGGAGCTTCCTTTCAAGGGGTTTCTCACACTGCCCCCTCTACCTCATGTGACCAACCTGGATTTCTGTCAAGATAATGTAGTTTATGCCCTCTTCTTATCTTCACATGGAATTCAGGGAGCCCAGCTTCTTTTCTTGAAGAATATAACAACAGAACAAAATATGATTTCTAGACCTGTCCAGCGGGTAACTAATAATTGCTACATAATAGTTGCCAATCAGTGATAATAACTACAAAAAGTATTTTTAAGAAAAAGAAAATAGCAACTAAAACCCTTATGCTTTTCCATTAAATGTTATATTATTCTATGATTATTTTTTAAATATGTATTTTCAGTCTTCGAGAATCTCATACATGCATTCAATGTGCAATTCATTTCCTACTCCTCCTCTTAACCTTCCAGATCCCCCTGCAACTTTATGTCCTCTTCTTTTCTTCTTCTTTTTTTAAATGACCCATCGAGTCCAATGTCTGCTGCCCCTATGCTCATCCAGTGGATGGGCACACTGGACCATGGTCAACTTACAGGGGGAAACACCTTTAAAGAAAACTGACTCTCCTTCCTAGCTATCAGCTAGGAACACGTGCTGGAGTGTTGACTACCTTGATCTTCGGTCTGTCTTGTGCAGGCAGCCATAACTGCTGTGAGTCTTGGATCAACTGTTAACCTCTTTTGAAAACTACTCTTGTCCTAAATTTGATTAACCTGAAATCATACAGTATGGTTGCTTGGTGAATGGCAAAATTTAACTCTGTATATGTCTTTTAGACTTTTGAGCAGATCTGTAATTGCTGTATAGTGAGATGGCTGTTCTTCATTCTTAAGTTGACTGGATTTGGAATCACCCAGGAGATAGGCCTCTGAGCATGTCTGTGGGGGCATTTCTAGAGAGGTTGAACTGTGGGGGAAGACTCAGCATGGATTCAGGTTGCTGGGTCAACAGAAAGGGGAGGAGCAGGAACCCCGAGCACCACTACTCACCTGCCTTTACTTCCTTTCAGCCCAGTGTGACCAGCTCTGTAGCTCCCACAGCCATGTCACCCTGCCACAGTGGAATATGACCCCTAGAGCAGTGAACCTAAGCAAACCTTCATTCTCCCAGCAGCCTTTGTCACAACAGTAAGGAAAAGAGCAGAGAGTCGCCGCCAGGAAGTGGAGTCCTGCTGTATGTAAGAAGGCTGGCTGTGTGGCTGTTGGGCCCTTTGAACCAGTGTGTTAGAGGAAGGTGAAGGATTTGGAGCCATCGGCCACAGAGGCCCTAGAAAACTCTAAGCAGAGCTAAGGGGCTGTTCTTATAAGCGTTTGGAATACAAGCACTCAGACAGAAATTCAGCCAGGAAAGACTTCATAATCAAGGAAAGTTAAGACTATACCAGGAGCTGGGCCAGAGACCATTCATGTTATAGTCCGGCACAGAATCTGTCTCCATTCTGTGTGCTGAAAATTTAAGGGAGGCTGAATTTAAAATAGAAGCCTACATTGTTTGACATAAATAATTAAAACAGACTAATAAATGATGTCATGATTGTGGAATGACCACTGTTCTTACTCTATTCTAAATTGGAGCAAAAAGATAAGGATAATATGCAGTTTGGTAGGAAAGGAGTAAGAGAAAGTAGCTGGAATTGTTGAAGAATTACTTCAGCTAAAGAGAATCTAGTCTTCTCTGCTGGCATAATCAGGAAGGTTCCCTGTAAGTAAGACTTCCATTCCCACGAAAGACTCCAACTTATATAAGTGAAAATTCATTTGAAAGGAGGACCCTGAGCTGAAAATGCCACTGAAGGGGCTTTCTGTTCAAAAACCACCGAGGGAAGTATTTCCCTAGGTTTTATATGCAGAAGGCATTCTGATAAAAAAAAAAAGGGGAAGACTATATCCCCAAATAGCAACATCATTCATTTGGTGTTGATGTTGCAGGCATGCAAAATCCAAAAGTTAAAGGATCATGGAAGATTGCACCAAGGCTCCATGAAACCACTTAAAGCCAGGCAGTTATGTGAATGACAAGCTGTCCAAGGTGAATCTTAAGCTGCAGTAGAGATACCAATGTATTAGAGATGCCAGGGCTATGTGATAATACACCAGGATAGGATACAGGTCTAGAGTAGAACTGGACCAAGGAAGAAGCTACATGTTTCACAGTTGGCAGAACTGAAGGGGTGGGTTCCTGGGCATGCCGGGGTCCAGATGATGCTAGCACAAGCCCTAGATGCCAGACATGAATCTTCAGGGTTTGACAGTTCTTCAAGGATTTCGTATTGCTTTGATATTTCTTGTTGCTTCCTATTCCTTGCTTTTGGAATGGGAATGTTTACAGTGTCGTTGTACTTTGGAAGTATGCCTCTTTTTATTTCCTTTGTTTACAGGGATTCACCAGCCTATAAGTCTCAAGTATCAGAAG